TTGGTAAGATCTAAACTTAAAAAGACTCCATATGAGCTATACAAAGGTAGAAAACCAAATATTGGTTGCTTTAATATTTTTGGGTGTAAATGCTTTATTCTAGATAACAAGAAAAATCATCTTGCTAAATCTTATGAAGGAATTTTTCTAGGATATTCTAGTAATATAGTAAGCATATAGGGTGTTTATAAAAAAAAAACTCCTAGTCGTAGAAGAAATCTATTCATGTTGGTTTCTTAATGAATTTGACTTACTTCTAGATTTTTAGAAAATGGATGATTTTTGTAAAATCAAAGAAAAGCAGAATGAACAATCAGAACAACTAGAATAGCCAGAAAATGAGCAGAACGTTGATAACCAGGCTGAACCAGAAGATGAACATGAAGATCAAAATGCAATTGAAAGTCAAATGCAAAAACAGAAAATGAAAATTCTCAATTATCAAAAGAATGGTGATTTCACAGGTATCATCCACAAGAGGACATCGTGGATAATACTTCAAAAAGGATGATGACTAGAGCTCAATATAAGAGATATTTTGGTAATGTTGCTTTCGTTTCTCAAATAGAACCTAAAAATTTAGAAGATGCTCAAATGATGATAAATTGGATTCTTGCTAATGGCAAGAAAGACTAATCAATTTTGAGATAAATCCAAGTTTGGAAATTGTTTCTAAACCTAAAAAAAAACCATTTCTATTATTGGAACCAAATGGATGTTTAAGAAATATAGCTGATGAACAAAGTAATGTTGTGAGAAACAAAGCAAAGGTTAGTGGCTTAAGGGTACAACCAAGAGGAAGGTATGCGATTTTGAAGAAGACCTTTTCCAGTTTGCAAGATTTGAGGCATAGAAATGCTTTGTGGGCATTTGGCATTTTTTAAAAACTTCATGTTGTATCAAATGGCATGTGAAAAGTGCTTTTCTAATGGGTTTCTAATGAAGAAGTGTATGTAGAAACAACCTCCTAGTTCGTGAAGTTGATATAAACCAAATCATGTTTCAACTTACTAAAGCTTTCTTTATGGTTTGAAACAAGTCCTAGACTGATATGCCAAGATTAAGTAAAGTTTTTATTTAGAAAATGGTTTTTTCTAGAGGAAAGGTTTGATACAACACTATTTATCAAAATAAAGCACATGATATTCTAGTTGTAGCAAATCTATGTTGATGCATAATCTTTGGTTCTACTAAATGATCTTCTTTGTTAAGGGAAATTTTCTAAATTATGCAGGGTGATTTCGACCAATGAGCATGATGGGAGAATTAAACTTCTTCTTTTGACTTCAAAATCAAACAATGTGAAAATGAAATTTTCATAAACCAAGGGTAAATATATCTAGAGAAATTGTTTGAAACGGTTTCAAAATGGAGACTCAAGGTATGTAGTACACCAATGAGTCCCATTCCTGGGCAAATTAGAAAAAGATGGAAAAGGTAAGGATGTGGACCATCAATTATTTAGAAGTGTGTTTAGTTCTTTACTATATCTAACCTGGGCAAAGCAGACCTGACATTCACTTTAGTATTTTTGTTTATGTGCTAGATTTCAGTCGTGTCCAAAAAGAATCTCATTTAATTGCTGTAAAAGAATCTCTAAGATATCTTCGTGGACTTCTAATCTGGGTTTTGTGGATTTAAAGGTGAATACATTTGATACGTTATTGGTATAGTGATTCTGATTTTGGCCAGGAAGCAGAATAGATAGAAAAAGCACATCTGGAACTTGCCAGTTTCTAAGTAGCGCCCTTGTATCATGGTTTAGCAAGAAACGGACATCAGTTGCTCTTTCTACTGTAGAAGCAGAATATATTACTGCTGGAAGCTGTGTTGTACAAGTTCTATGGATCAAGCAACAATTGGCAGACTATGGTCTAAAATTAAAAACAGTACCAATCAACTGTGACAATATAAGCGTCATCAATTTATCCAAAAATCTAGTCTAGCATTCTAGAACCAAGCACATAGAACTGAGACATCACTTCATATATGATCATGTTCAAAAAGGTGATATAGTGGTTGAGTTCATTCCAACAGAAAAGCAATTGGCAAATATCTTTACTAAACCGTTGAATGAAAGCCAATTTTGCTTAATTAGAAGAGAGCTCGATATATTAGTTCTAAACTCTTAACTTTAGAACTCTGTAATTATGTTCTAAATTGCTTTCTATATTTGAAATGCCTTGCATTCTAATTCAACAGGTAGATGACATGCCTTACCATAGCAACAGGTAGATGACATGCCTTACCATAGACCATTCAATACGGAGACATACCAATTGGTGTTTTAAATATGGTTCTATAAGCCCAAAGTGCATCATCGAGCTGCTTGGACCAGTCCTTCCTTGATTGTCCAACTGTAGTTTCCAATATTTTCTTGATTTCCCTATTTGTTACCTCTACTTATCCATTTGTTTGTGGATGGTATGGGGTACTTACACGATGTGTAAGACCATATTTTGAAATAAGAGAATCTAGGTACTTATTGCAGAAATGCTTACCTCCATCTGTGATTATTGCTCTAGGAGTACTATGACATGTGGAGATATATTTCTTAATAAAGTTCATCACATTATTGGCATCATTGCTGGGAAGAGCAGCGGTCTCCACCCATTTGGAGATATAATCCACTACTACTAAAATGTATTGGTTGGAATAAGAAGATGGAAAAGGTCCCATGAAATCCAAACCCCAAACATCAAAAATCTCCACTTCAAGGATATTATTCAATGGCAGCTCATGCCACTTGGAGATATTTCCTAATCTTTGACAACGATCACAAAGATGAACAAAGTTAAAATCATTTTTAAATAAGTTGGGCCAATACAAACCGATTTCTTAAACATGTGCTACCGTCTTGCTCGCTCCAAAATGTCCTCCACATTCCATTGAATGATAAAAATGAAGAACAGTTTCCATCTCTTCTTTCAACACACATCATCTAAAAAGTTGGTCACTACAATATTTGAACAACAAAGGCTCCTCCCAATAGTAATATTTAAGATCATGAAAGAATTTTTTCTTTTGTTGATTAGAAGGATTGGGAGGAGTAATCTTGCAAGCAACTCTTCTTGCTTATCTTCCCCCAACTCAAGCCTTGACAAGTGATCAGCTCCAAGGTTCTCGGTTCCCTTTTTATTACGAATCTCCAAATCAAATTCCTGCTAAAGAAGAAGCCAACGAATTAATCTGGGCTTTGCATCTTTCTTTTCTAACAAATACTTAATAGCAGAGTGATTAGTGTAGACCATTATTTTAGCTCCAATCAAATATGCTCTAAATTTATCAAAGGACTGAGTGATCAGTGTAAACTATTGTCTTAGGTCCAATCAAATATGCTCTAAATTTATCAAAAGCAAAAACAATAGCTAGAAGTTCTTTTTCAGTGGTAGCGTAATTTAGTTATGCATCATTCAATGTGCGACTAGCATAATAAATGACATTCAACTTCTTTTCCTTTCTTTGCCCAAGAAAAACTCCTATAGCATGATCACCAGCATCGCACGTAAATTCAAAAGGAAGAATCCAATCTAGTGTAGCAATGATAGGCGTTGAAATCAATTCTTTCTTCAACCTATTAAAAGCATTCAAACACTGTTTGTCAAAATCAAAAGGAACATCCTTAACTAATAAATTATAAAGAGATTTTGTGATTTTGGAGAAATCCTTGATAAATCTCCTATACAATCCTGCATGGCCAAGAAAACTTCTTACTCCTTTTACTGAATTTGGAGGTGGTAGCTTTTCAGTTACCTCTATCTTGGCTTTGTCCACTTCAAAATCCCTTTTCTATTTTATGCCCTAAAATAATACCTTCACTAACCATAAAATGACATTTTTCCCAATTTTTTCAAAACAAGGTTAATGTTTCCTCACATCGTTCACATACTAGAGAAAGGGTTATAAAGAACAAGAATCAAAGAAGCAACCAAACACAGAAAAATTCATCACAAAATATTTCAATGAATTTTCAACCATGTCAAAAAAATATGCGACCATCATACAACCTTTTAAAAGTCACAGAGTGGCATTGCACAACCCAAAAGGCATTGTCTCTATAAGCAAATTTATTATAAGGGCAAGTGAAATTATTCTTTTTCTTGATCCTCGGGAGCTATAGGTATTTTAAAAATACCCTGAATTAACATCTAGAAAACAATAGTAAGGGTAAACTATAAGTCTTTCAAGTATTTGATCCAATAAAAGGCTAAAGGCGAAGTGATCTTTGCGTTGTTGCTATTGTTGAACTTTCTATAATTCAATATACACCAATACCAACCTTGTGACAGATTCTAGTAGGAATATAAATTTCATTATCTCTTGTTAGAAATTAATTGTCATACCTTCCCTTCTTAGAACAACTGGAACGGGTCTTACCTAACTACTATCCGAGATGGATAGATTAATGCCAAACATTCAAAAACTTATATGATTTAGGCCTTTGACTACTTCCTTCATATTGGATTTAATCTCCATTGATGCTCAATTGTAGGTTTCGGTAGTCTTCTTCCATCAGATTCTTGCTGCATGCACGCACTTGGACTTATCCCCTTCAAATGCTTAAAGTTGACCATACTAAAGCCTTCATTATGCTTTCCTAAAATCTGCAACAGCCTTTTTCTCTTGATCAAGTGATAAGTGAGGAGCAAAATAATAACAGGAAAAGAGTTTGTTCTCACCTAGAATGCATATTTTAAATGAGAAGGAAGTTGTTTTAATTCTTGACTTTGGTGGTTCCACTTACTTCCTCACACTTTTTGATTGCCTTTAATTTATTAAATGTCACCTTATCAGTGGGTCACTTTATTTTTTAACATTTCAAGTGTCTTTTTACACAATCATCAATTAACACAATTCTAAAGCAATCATTATAATCCATAGAAGCTTACCATGATTTAAGACACATAAAAAAATAACTTCCTCTTGGACCTACCTTTAAAGGTTAACTTTACCCTTATTAGACATCAATCAATGGCTCTTGCAGTTGCAAGGAAGGTTCTCTAAGGATTTAGGGATCCTTCTCTATCTTCATCAATGTCAAGAATAACCAAATCAACAGGGCAAATAAATTTTACCAATCCTTGACGAACTACATCTCTACAATTCCTTTCTTCGATATTTTTTGATTGATCAATCCGGCCAATATGTAGGAGACATTTCTTATTGGTTTCAGCTCTCCCATCCTTAGCAGTTCTTGAAAACTTCATAAGGACATAAGATGTAATTCTTGCACCTAAATCTGCTAAAAGCTTTTTTAAAATTTCAAGATTTCCAAATATTACAAGCGAATGTAGAAAAACTCCTGGATCTTTTAACTTTGGGAGGCAATTTATTTGAATGATTGCACTACATTCCTCTGTTAACATTACCGTTCCTTGATGATCAATCTTCTTTTCTTGCTCAGGACTCTTCAAGAATTTTTGCATAAGGCTGGGCATTTGAGCAAGGGCTTCAGCAAAAGGGATATTTATTTTGAAGCTTTTTGAAAAACATCAAGAAACTTGAGGAAACTCTTATCATCTTGTGATTTTCTTGAGCCTTGGGTTGGAACAAAGGAATTAGGTGTGGAACATAAAATGTTTCACTTCCTCTTTCTCTTTCAAGGTCAATGATGCGGATCTTTTTTCTGCTCTTTCTTTTCATCCTCTTTCTTGGGTGGATCCTTCCAATTAGTTTGTCATTCCTTAAAGTGATAGCTTTTGTAACCTTGTTCTTTGGGATTTTTCTCAGTGTTAAATTAGGAAACGTTGCCTTGAGGTCTAGAAAGCCATTTCATGTTAGCAAAGCTGCCCTTAATTGAATCTCCAAGTTCCTTTATCGCCAGCTTATTGGATTTGGGATTTTCCCGAGTTTCATTCATTTGAAATCTATGTGAGATTTTAGGGAGAGCAGTAAGAAGATCATTCATGAGTCCTTCTTCTCTTGAGAGGAAAAACCTAGTGGTGCATTCCAGGCATTGTTTGGATCCCATAAGGAAAGATTAGGCATGATTTCCCTCAACTTTGTTATCATAAGAGTTAGAAATGGAGTAGTTCTTTCTTCCTTTGATTCATTCACATTAGTTGACTTTGCTCCAAAGTTTGCGGATTTAAAGAACAAACATGACTCTCCAATTCCATGTTTGTCCCATTACACCATGTCCACATTGCTTGCACAATAGAATTAAACAAGAGTTCGTAGTGAACAAATCCAACTTCGTTCCCAGTTAAAACCCGTTCACGTCTTTTAAGAAGACAAATGTGCAGTGCTGGTTGTAATGGATCAAATCTCATAAACTCCTGCAAGCTTCTTCCTTTTTAGAGCTATTTTGATAATGGTTTATGTGCTTACCATCTCTTCTATCAAAATCATATGCTTCATTTCAATTCCTTTCTTTCAAAAGATTTTTTTTTTTCCACCAAAAAAAAACAAAAAAAAACAAAAAACTAAATCTAAAGTATCTTATATTAGGAGATAATGCCATTATAAATAATTTGTACCTGTCACCTGGGTAAGTTATAATGTGGGCACTTCCTCCGTAGGTCCTTGAATCTCTTCCAAGCGTTCATAACAACTCTCTTGATCCTGCCGTGGGCAAAAGTCTTTATCTCATGCGGCAAGCTTTGCTAGTCTTCCAAGGTGGAAAAAAATTTTCCGCCAAAAAGTTTCTGGGCTAGCATTCCTCCCATATAGTAAAAACTGCTCCAGTTAGGGCATGATTGTAACCAAGACCGTGCTTACCCTGTAGAGGGAAAGCAAATAGGTTCTCAATTTTATGGCATCTCAGAAAACTCCATTTTACTTGAAAAAGTATCACAAAATTATCCGAGAAAGATTTGTGACTATGGGCATTAGACTCAGCCTACGCATCTCTCTAAAAATGAATCCCACTAGGAACTTAGTGGTAACCCTCTTTTGTTCACATTAAGTTCTAAAACATTATGCCTGTGATTATATGTTTTGACAACTATGTCATTTGATGTTACCAGCCCCTTAGAGGGCAAACATTTTCCAAGGCAGACCATCCATTAAAATGTTGCAGTAGCCCTTGCCACTTTTATACTTCTCATTTCTACCAAAATCAACCTCAACTTCCTCTATTACAACATAATTTGGTAAAAGCCTCTTTAACTGTGTAGCATTCTGACACCATTCCAAACAACAAAAGTAGGAAATGGCAATTTGGATCATATTTCACCCTCTTTTTTTGGTTTCCTTCTCAAGTTCCCATGTCCCTTCATCTCTTGATAGCTCTTCTACCTCACCTTCATCATTAGAATCATCAACCTCACCCATATTCCATTGCCATAATTCATTCACCTGAAACTTCACTAACATGCCCATCATCTGCTGCTTTACCCTCATTTCTTCATTTTGCTCTTTCACCCTTTCCCCTTCATTGCCAATGCCTATCTTCATCATCACTTGAACCTCTATGGAAAAAAAAAAAAAAATTCTTTTACTTGTTCCCTTACTTCTATGTAGTTCTTCATGCCAGATTGATAGTCAGGATCCACTTCAATCTCTTTCATACTCACACATCCTTAGTTTCAATGTACCATAGTTGCTTCTTCTAAGTTACTAACTTCAGGGGGCTGGACTACTATTTCTATTTTGATTTAAACTCTTTTTCATTATTGCCTGTCCATCACATTCTCATTAGATTGAGGCCTCGGGATGGTTGCTTTCCAACCTCAGTTTCAAAGACACTGGGATCTTCACCAGCATTCAAACTCTGGTCTCCTGAAATCCTACCCATCTTCATTTGAAACATTATCTCCCCTGTCTTTGTTTGTACATGATTCCCTCATTCTCTGCATTTTCAGTATTAGGGCGCAAAGTAGCGTTCATTAATAAAATGTTCAACATACAAGTGGATATCGTCATTTTCTTTCATTAACCAGATGTTAACATATGTTAACAACAACATTCATCCTTTCAACCTCAATTAACCCATTCATCTTGTACACTACTCCCTTTTAGCAACCAATAAATCTTAAAATTACCTCCATAACCACAAAGGCCTACCATTTGGATTAGTCCTCCTATAGTGTAACCTATCAAGTCATGGACATAAAAAGATTCACCTCACCTCCATCATAATTGACTTTGTCGTTTCTTACCTTTAAAAAACACTTCTGTGATGAACTAGAATTTGTGACACCAGTCTTCATACGACATGCTGACACAAATAAAAAAGAACATATAAGAGGTTTTCACATGGCAAAATATTGAGTGTAATAGAAAAATCATTTTCCCAATACTGTTATATAAACTATTCTTTTCTCCATGTCAACACAACAACAATAATCTACGCTTCTGAAGCGTGCTTTATGTAATATAAGTGGAAAGAACATTACCTGGAGAGGGGTGATATAGTGATAAAGACACGCGGGACTATTCAATCAATTCTAGATTTTGAATTTTTCTCGATTCCTACTGCAATTTAGCCAAATAACCCTAAAACAAAGTTTTTTTTTTATGAGAGATCTGCATGGTTTTCCCTCCTAAACGTTATTGAGAGAGATCAACAGGTTGCCCTCGCTAATAGTCGGCTCCAAATTGCCAATTTGCCAAATGGCTTCTTGTTTTGTGTCTCTTCATTTCGACCTGACCCAGTTTGAAGAAACAGGTAATTTGATTTAAAAATTGCTAAGTTCATAGAGGTTTTTAGCCAAAAAAAGATGCTTTTATGGTTGCATTTCGAATATTCATGCCAAGTGAGGGGCAAATTGAGCTTTTTTTTTCTTAATTTTAATTTAGTTTTTAAATTCATGGAGAATAGAAATTATTATTATTCACTTTGCCAATTCTTATTTCAAAATTTACCATCTTTTACCAATTTGTAATGTAGTTTTTGGTTTTGATAGTATGGTTTTTTTGGTTTCTGCTAGAATTTTTTTCCTAATTCATGGGCATTAATTAGGGCCTATATACAGATTTTCATTATGACTTCTAAGTTTTTGTTCAGGAATTTTTCTTGTTTATTTCATACTTATTATTCTTAGTAATGAGTTTAGCTAGGAAGGCTCTTAAATTTTTTTTCTGTTGTAATTTTATTCCCAATTGTGTTGTCTGCGGAATCACTTATCTGTGTTAGCTTTTTAGTTATAATGCATAATTTCTAATTTCTGATAGGAAAATCCGTATTCCTGCATGTGTACTATTGTCATTCCAAACCGATAACTCATGATAGAGTTTTGTAGTGAACAGAGTTTTGAGAGTTGATGAAGAGATAAAAAAGATATGCAGTAATTTTTTTCATTAATATGGTTTGGGCCAATGGCACAATTATTGCTCTAATAATTATAATCTAATGGTTCTTTTAATTTAAAAAATTGAAATCTGAAGATACAAAATAATATCTATTATTGATGACAGAATATTACGCGTACTCCTACCGTAGTTTTTCCTCTATTTCTTAGGGAATTTGAGTTTTCTTTAATTTTTTTATATTTTCTGGATACAAAGGAGAGGTAAACTAAAAAACACAAGTAGTGCTTCGACAAATTCCGTGGCCAAAGCCCACACCTCCGCAAATTCATTAACGCCAAAAGAGCAAGTAAATCCAGGAAGAGGCTGTTAAAGAATATTTTAATGAAAATATTTTTTTAAAACTTTCAAAATTTAATCATGTATCTAAAAAGAGTTAAATATCTTTTAATGATTCTTCTTTTAAAAAAAAAATCATTTAATAAAATAATTGATAAACTTTTCAAAATTGAAACATTTTCTATCCCTTGTGAGTTAATTCACCTAAAAGTTTTCAAACTTCGTATTCAAGAAGTTTATTTTTCAAAGCTTTATCCTCTCTCCCTTTTTCTTAGGTCTAGCCACAATTTTTTTTTTTTATTTCTTTCTCCTCATGGCTTGTATATTTAAGAGGAAATTAACATGTGGTACACCAACATAAAAATTGAATCCCATTAATCTTACTTCTAGATTATGGGTTCTATGAATATATGCTTTTACTAATTATGCAATTAAAGTAAAATATAGAAAAAGGAATTTGCTTAAAAGAAAATAAAACAAAGAAATTGTACAAGAAATCTTTGATTGGCTTTATAAAGTAAAGAGAATTTGGATTAATTTGAATATAAAGAAAGCTGTAAATATAGAAAAATAAGACTAACAGTGCTTTTTAAACAAAATTAAAGACAAGGACCAATATTCATTCTTTGAGATAGAGTGGGTTGGTTTCTTACCTTCTCCACCTTAATCAAAAGTCTCGCCGTCGGAACTTCCTCATGTCACGGTGAAGTCGAGGGCGCTCACTACGAGGAAATTTACCATGTTGAGAGAGTCGCTCTTTATTATGGGCACTGTTATGTACTCGGACCTGACATATTCGAAGGCCCAATAAATTTTCGTTATCAGTGGTATAAATTCGTATAGTGAGAAGAGTACATGACAAAAATTGGATGAAACTTAAACGACGAATGCACCTACAGGTCCAACT